CAGAATAGCATCACCTCTGAACTATCATAAACTGTTATTAAGAGCATGATTGAATCTGGTATGCAATACTCACCAGGAACCCAGAGCCAAAAACGTTGAAAAAGCTTTAAAGTCAAGTCATTTTCTACAAACTAGAAAGTCCCAGTGTAATGACTTTCAGTTATAATACATGACTGAGATCCAAAGTACAAAGTAGAATAGTTGGGGAATATCCTTATGTATATGCTTAAGTTGCATCATTGCAGTTTTAGAGGATGACCCCGAACCAAGTCTAAATCAATTCATGGACCACCATCATTGAATGGTTAAATAAACCCTAGGAGACTCAACAGATGTCAAATGCTGTGCTGAATTTCATTGCACAGCTCAAGAGGCCTGTGATTCCTTAATAGAACAGGTATTGAACAAGTAAGTACAGTTACCTGGAAGTTAAAAAAAAATATAAAAGCGCTCTTTTAACATGGATTATTCTGGAGGTTGCTTCTTATTTGAGCAAACTGTCCCAGTGTCAGTTATGGTGACCCATTCTAAACTTAAGCTGGCATCACGTTTCTCTGTCATAGAGGCCCTTGATGTTCCCAGTGGAATTCATAGAATTAAATACAACAGGCTCACTAACATAAGATAACCCAGATTGTAGGTACACAGGTTCCCCATTTTTCCCGAGGCGCTATGCAGGGCTGTTCTGCTTCCTGGTTCCACTGCATCAGCTTGAGGGTGTAGCATAGAACTGCCCTCTCTTGTTATGTTAATTTCACCTACGGCCCAAGGGTGTAGCTTAGAGTGAACTCTCCCTCTACTGTCATGGTAATTCCACCTGCAAGCAAGGTTCTCGCCCACAGGCAAGGTTCCCGGGTCAGCTTTTCTCTGAGCCTGAGCACGCCCACCTGGCTTCCTCTTTTCTCTGTTCAGCTGCTCTCCGACCTTGGGTGCGGCCCCCTGACTTTTCTCTTTCCTTGATCCTGATGGGGGGCTGGTGTCCTTTTGCCCCATAGTATATATACCCGACTTATGCTTAATAAAGCTGACTTGCTCCTTGGCAGATGAGCCTGGTCTCTTTGTGTGTGTGTCATGTGTTTTAACCCCTAGGACAATCGTCCGTTCTCTTGGGCTCGAGTCAGGAAAAGCGTGTGCCTGTTTTGAGGTTCGGGTGTCCACAGAAAAGTGCGGAAGCTTACACCAGATCATAATTTCTTCTTAGGAGGTAAATCAACCTTTACTGCATGCCAGGTCAAAAACAAATGTGGAAATCTGAGTTAAGACAGGATGATATTATATACATACATATAATATATATATATATATATATATATATATTATATCACTCTATAATTTGTTCTTTTCCTGTAATTGACATATGTGGTTAAAGTAATTTAAATTAATTTTAGGATTTAGACACTCACAGAATCTATGTGACAATAAAATCTATTAAACAGTAGGAATCGAGGGTTTCAGATTCTTTGAAATGAAGATTAATACTTGGAGACTATGAATTAAACTCCTTTAAAAGTAATTCAAGGAAAAACAATCTCCCTTTTGAAAATCTTAGAGTCAGCATTTCTCTAAAATCACACCTCTTAATAACAATTTTACTTTACCTAAGTGGATTGAGACATGGAATCTTGATCTTGATACTGTGCTCCCTGCCAAGGCTGCTCAGTGGTCATCCTAGCAGCCCCCCTTTGGCTCAAGATTTGGTGAAAGGGGAAGGTTAGCGAAGAACAGTGTGCAAGGTAGTTAAAATGACAGATGCCATTAGAGAGGAGGATCAAGCAGAGCAGAGAGTGTGTGTAACTTCCAAATACTGAATTGATCTGACAACTGTGAAACTGTGGCCTGAAGTAGGCCCTGCTAGGTCAGGAAAGCAGGAACAACTAAGGGGATTTGCCTGCCAAATCCAGGACAACAACTAGCCTCCAGGAACCTTTCACCCTGGGGAAGTTGGTCCAATAAGTGGAATGGGAGGAAAGTAACTTGTCCCCTGGAGACTAGCATGACAGTTGCAGGGAGCTCTGACTATAGGGAGCATCATTGAGAATGTTTACTTCTTGCTAACTAACACCTCTGAAACCTGTAGTTCCCTTTTTCATTGCCAGCTTTTGGTAAAGAAAGCATGATTTGGATGCATGGTGTTTGCTCAAGTATCTGGGAGTCAGCCTATTCTCATTTTTTACTGCTCTCAGAACCAGGGGTGGGCAAGTCTGGCAATAAGGGAGAAACCTAGTCTTACATGTAAGCAGAACTTTCCCCAGTGAGCATGTGCTTGGGCTGGGCTGGCTCACATCAGGGACAGCCTGGATTCTTCTCTGTAGCCTCTTTTAGCCTCTTTCCTGTTGGAGAAGGTAATGGGGAGGGGGAAGCTGCTTCCATACCGTCCAGCCTTCCAGCTTGGTTTTGATCTTGGGAAGGGGAAGCCCCTGCCCCCCTTTGAAGCAGCAGCCAGCACCACTTGTCTCTTCTCTCCTTCCCGCAGGCACTTCTGTTCAAAGTACTGCCTCTTGCTGGTTCCTTCTGCTTCTGCTTCTGTCCCCCTGCTGATTGGGAAGAAAGTGCACCAGTGGGGTGATGGGGTCTGGAACTCTTAAAGGAGCAGCTTTATTTCTGTTGAGAATTTATTTAGAATATAGCTTTTATGTCCTCTCCCAGTTAATAGTTCATTCTGATGAAAATAAAACAATTGACCACAATCCCTAGTTAAATGTTAACTGTAGATGTTCTAGGATTGCGTAAGGATTTTTAAGCAATTCAAGCACTAACCCATGATGCCAATCACTATTAGCAATCAAATGAAATTTGAGTATCATTCACTGAGAGCACAAATTTAAGGGCCATGAGTCTGACTGGGGTATTTTTTGTCACCTGAAGGACTCATATCTAGGACAGAATATATACAAGGCACACAGATAATTTGAGCCCACCCTGTTTTTTAAATACTGTAACTCCTATAGCAGCAAATATTGTTCAGTGTAGTTAACATGTAGCCAATTAAAAAACTGATTTGAGGTGTGATCTCCCTTTGGCTGTCCATTGGTTGATTTTCTGTCAGTTCAATAGTATCGATTGAAGACTTGGGTCCATGCAAAATAGACATTGGGGAAAGTCCCATTGGATATAGCGGTCACAGCACCTTAGAGCTTTACTTCTGTATGCCAACAATGTGCTTTCTTCCCCTTAAAAATGTAAAATAAACTAAATCCTGGGTGAAAGCAATCTAAGGACAGAATTGTGGTACTTTCTACAGGGTTAGATAGTGGATAGCACCTCAAGTTCAAGATTGTGAAAATTATTAGATCTTGAGCAAATTACCCAGTGGGGGATCCCACTTCATTTGGATTAAAAAATAACAATACTATTTGGATGATTTTGAGTGTGTGAAGTGATTGAAAACAAATATTCAAATAGGAAAGGGGAAAAGATCAGGATAAGCCAGAAGGCCAATAGGGTAAGTCTTCAGTTTTACAAATGGTAAAACTGAGGCTAAAAAGTTGTTGTCTATAGTTGTGCTCACTTCCAACCCTAAGATTTCACTGTTGTGCCAATACTACACCTTCCTTGTAAGGACAGTAGGGAAGCAAATCAGATGGCTGGACTTCACACTGAACAAGCTTTTGTAATGCCCTATATCCTTTTCTCTTGAGTAGGTGAGGAAAGTTTTCCCTTGAGGAACTGGCTAAAGGAATGCATTCCATCCTTTCCTGGGCAGACTAAAAGGAGGAGAGGAGTGTGGTTAAGCCCTCCACGTGCAGAGAGACCATTCTCAGACCAGAAGGGGAGAAGCAGCTGGTGTGTGGGATAGTGGGCACATTACCCAGTGGTTCCCCGTTTCTCAGAGAAGGAAAATGGAGGAGACTTTTGCCCAAAACACGAGGTAGCTGTTGAAGGAAACTAATACTGTAATCACTTATCCCAAGGACCACTCAAGGGGGCTGCCCTTTGTCCTTCCCATTGCAACATACTAGATCCAGGTCCCCATCTTGCTGACCTACTGAGGAACCACTACCCACCTCAGCCCAAAAGGATACTGCAGCATGAACTCAAGCTGGGATACTCAGCACAGCAGAAATTGGTGAAGGTGACCGCCTTGTCCTCCCTAAATACATGTGTCCCGTGATGCGGCCCCGAGGGATGCTGGGGACGCAAAAGTTTGTTTCAGTGGTCTGAGAGACATATCTAGGCAGGGACCGCAGGCAATGGCAGCAGGATGCCACCCCTGCCTTGTAGCAGTTTGTATACTCTTTTCTGGGGGCAAACACTACATCCCAGTGGTAGGTTGAAGGAAGGGGGTGTCCCATTAGGCTAGCCTACATTCTGGTCCCACAAGACCCTCTTCTGTGTTCCTGTAACCTCCTCTGGGTCCTGAGCCAAGTCTGAGTCTTCAGCTCTGCAACTGCCCCTATCAGCTGATTTTGACAGAATGAGGGGGCCCAGGAGCACAGGAGGGCGGGGCTAGCCCCTGCCAGATCCAAGGATGATAACGTGTCTGCTCCATGTCGCGGCTTCGAGCTGTCCAGGCTCCGCCCCCTGTGAGTGTGTAAGTGTGTGATGCTGCCTTGGCCGCCGCCGCCTGTGC